CGAGCACATAACTTGCTTCGCCCAAGTCCTTCATCTCAAATGTCAAGGACAACCACTTTTGAGTAGTGATAATCATCTCCTTATTATTTTTAGCTAATAAAATATCGTCAACATACAAAAATAGAATCAAAAAGCTATCTTTAAAATGTTTAACATACACACAACGGTCTTCATTGATCATCATAAACTCATTAGAAGTGATAGCTTAATGAAACCTGAGATACCACTGTTTGGATGATTGCTTCAGGCCATAAATAAATCGTTGGAGTTTACACACTTTGTTCTCCTGACCCATCACCACGAAGCTCTCAAGTTGATCCATGTAGATCTCCTCATCCAGTTCTCGATTAAGAAATACAGTTTTAACATCCATTTGATATAGTTCTAAATCCATATATGCAACAATAGCTAGAATCATGCGAATCGAGACAAATCTTATAACTGGAGAAAAAGTTTCCTCATAGTCCACACCCTTTCTCTGGGTGTAACCTTTTGCCACTAGATGAGCCTTATATCTTTCTATGGATCTATCCACCTTGCGTTTAATTTTGAGAACTCATTTGTTCTTAATGGCCTTGCGCCCAGGCGGAAGGTCAACCAAGTCCCAAACTTGATTAGCCTTCATTGACTCCATCTGGTCATTCATTGTAGCTATCCACTCATTACTAGCAGGTGATAATAGAGCCTCTTTAATATTTTTAGGTTCAACATCATCATGTCGTGCAGCCATGAAAGCTTCCCCTTCAATCTCAAAATGACGTTGAGGGATGGTTCCCCGTTTGCTTCTACGTAACTCTGTGTCGTATGGACTTACATCCATTAGAATTGATCCACCACTGAGTATGTCGCTCCCACTATTCCTAAAAAGTGATGAAACTATTTTCTCGATTTCTACTTGGTTAATGGGTATATCTCTTTAAGGATCATCTAACTCAAAAATTTCTATTTCTTTAGACACATCTCCTATGCTAGGGAAATCATCTTCAAGAAAAATTGCATCCGGTGACTCAATTTTAGTTACCCTTTCATCAAGTTGTTCACCTATAAACACATAGCCCTTAGAGTACTCAGAATAGCAGATGAAGATACACTTTTTTCCTGTAGGACCTAACTTCTCATATTTATGAGAAGTATTATGTACATAAGCCGTTGAACCCCATGACCGTAAATTATTTAAGTTAGGTTTTGTGTCTATCCATAACTCATATGGGTAGAAGGAATTGATTTAGAAGGCACTCGATTAAGGATATAAGCAATAGTCAATAAAACATCTCCCCAATATGAAATTGGAAGATGAGCCCGTGCCATTATGGACCTAACCATATCAAGTAAGGTGCAATTTCTTCTCTCCGCTACACCGTTTTGTTGTGGAGTGCTAGGTATTGTCAATTGCATGATTATTACTTTTTCTTCACAAAACTCTTTAAACTATTCAAATAGATACTCGCAACCTTGATTAGTTCTAAGAACCTTAAATTTATTGTCTCATTGATTCTCAACCTCTTTAATGTAATGTTTGAAGCAATCCAATTCTTCGGACTTGTGAAAAATCAAATAGATATGACCGAAGTGCATAACGTCATCCATAAAAGTGATGAAATAGGATGCATCATGTCTTGCATTGACATTCATTGGGCTACATAAATCTGAGTGTATTGATTGTAATGGAATAGATGCTCTTTTAGTCTTATCAAATGGTTTTTAGTTGCCTTACCTGGGAGACAATTTTCACATGTGGGCAAGTTGATTTTAGCAAGTAGGCCCAAAAATCTTTCTCTAGCTAATCCATTCATTCTATCTTGTCTAATATGACCTAATCTAGCATGTCATCTAATAAAATCGACATTATCCATAGATGTAACATAAGAATAAGTTTTATTACTAGAATGATCAATATATAATACAATAAAACCATATGTGGTATCACCAGATCCATAAAATATAGTTCCCTTATAAATGCTAATATGCTGGTCTTCAAAATGAAAAATAAAACCTAGTCTTATTAAACTACTAACTGAAAACAAATTTCGTCGGATTCCTGGAGCATATAATACATCATGAAGGTATAGAGTAGGCCCCTGTCGCAATTCTAGTTTATATGTACCAATCCCAAGCACATCTATATTGGTCTCGTTCCCCATATAAATTCGTTTGCTTCCAGCTGGAACTTGACAATACTCCACAAATCTGAATCTGTGTTTCGTTATGTGGTCTGTTGCTCCTGAGTCTACAATCCACGAATGTGGAGAGTAAGCAACAAAACTTGACTAGTAACTAAACAGTCAATGCGAGAGACAAAACTAGAGAGTACCTTTTTCGGCTTAGTACATTCACGAGCGAAAGTGTCCCTTCTTGTTGCAATTATAGTAGACCATGTTGGCTTTATTCTTATTATCTGCTCTTTTACCCTACTTGTTATAACTAGAGTGACTAGCCCCAATTTGAGCATCAGACCTTTTTCCACCACGCTTGTACTTGGACCCGAAGATCTTGAGCGAGTCAACTTTAGTCACATAAGAGCTATTATCACCTTTGGTAGCCTCCAAACGCTCAACCTCAAGGTCAAGGTGACGCGATATATTCTCGAATGTTTTCACACTCTCATTATACGTCATGTTTTGTTTCATATGCTGCAATGATGGTGGAAGGGAGTGAAGTACAACTTAAACTTGTTGTTCATTGGTCAACACATGACCAACAACGCCTAAATCACGTATAATAGATGTCATAACCCTCAGATGTTGTTTCATTGTATGCTCTGGCTTCTTTTGATACGAGTCAAACTTTATGCTCAAACCACGAAGTCTAACAAGAGAAGTAATACCAAACTTCTCTTTGAGGGCATTCCACATGGCATGAGCTATGAATTAATTCTCAAATTTAGGAATAAGGTCATCTTGCATGCTTGCTTGTAAGATATAATACGCAAGTTGATCCTTATTTTCCTAAGACTAGTAATTCTCTTGTTCTTGGTGGGTTTGAGGTCGCTCAGGCTCTAGCAACAAAGAGTCAAGGGTATCTAAGACTTGTTGCTCATACATGACAAATTAAATTTTACGACGTCATATGTCATAGTTATTGTCATTCAATTTGCCACCGTTAGTTAATTCAACCACTATGCTTTTAATAGTCATTATGATTTAATCTACATGCAGAAATAATGTGTATGAGATATTAGCACAACACATTCTATAACTTTGCCTCAAAAATCTAAATTCAAGTATTAACAACTTTCATAAGTAGCGAGATTGAAAGTTTACTAAGTTCCCAATCATCTCTCATACCACAAGTGATTATTAATAACACTTAATAAAACTCTCACTAGATCTAGTATCTCTAGGCATAATGATCATAATTAATTTCTTATTATGTATGTTCTTATTTAAATCGTGCTAAATAACGAAATAAATGCTATAAACATATCAAACATGGTTACATTACTCTATGCAGAATATCAATATATCTCATAAATAGATATTTATTTCAATATTTGTAATTTCAACTGATTAAAGTTCGATCTCATATTATCATATGTGTCCATAGATACCAAAAAATAAAAAAAATAGTTCCTAAAGTCATATGGACCAAACCCGTAGACCCAAAAATTTGGATGAGAGATATAAAATCTAAATATTTAATATTCTTAACCGTTAAATATAATTTTTAAGATAAATTTCTCAAAAATTATCTTGTCCAAGCATCGTGTCATAACTCGTGAGTCGTAACTTTGCATCTCTTGAGACCCTTAGGTTGAACCAATTGTTCAATTGCTGTTGTCTTTTGTACGTATCATGTCAGAGAGTAAGCAATCAAGGAATAAGATTTGACAGAGGGTCCACAACAACACATGATTCATTCCAATCCACACCAATAGACACCACAATTTCATGCCGAATTTGAAGAATTTTAAAAAAATTAGCACTGTCAAACTGTGAGATCGTTTCTGACGATGCTTTTCAGATTGATTCATGTATGTACTGACTACTATATATTTAAATTTCAAGGCATATGATGACTGTTTGTTCAAGATGTCATTAAAATTCGTTCGAAGCTATTCATAAAAGCAATATTTCTAAATAATTGTTTCCAAAGGTGCGAGAACACCTTAAATGGATTTGATACCAATGTTAAAAATTGTATAATATATTGTGGAAACGAAGGATAAAAAATACACCTTATTCGCTTTAATTCAAAAACTATTTGAAGATGTTCCACGTATTTTAGAATCTTAATCAACTCTTTTTCTTTAATTGCTCGAGTAGTATAGTATTGTTATATAAGATGAGTCAACACTAGATTTTACACAGCACAAAAGTCTTCAAATGTTGTGTAACAAGAGAGAAGAGAGTAAGAGAATTTTAACGTCTGATTAATTATCATTTTTTTTTCTTATTGCATTGTCTTGAGTTTATATGGACAACCATTGAGTGTCATTAAAAGACACATCTTATAGAGATAGGTTTGTTAATATTTAACAGACATGTATTTTGAGTGATAAAGGATACCTCCAAAAGATATGTCTCTTAGGCATTCTTTAATTTAGGTCAACCCATCATGGGCGGCCCGGTTTAGGTTCATGATCCAACCAATATCTAACACATGTAGATATAGAAGATTGAATGTAATTGTATTTCTAATAAATGAGTTCAAAAAAATTTAGAAATTTTTATAAAAAGGTCCAAAGCAAGTTAAAAATCAAATAAGAGTGAAAAATAAAAATTAGATGAAACTATATGGGTAGATATAATTGAATTTATTATATTAAATAGAGATAAAATAAGATGTCAAAATTTTTCACAAATGTTGTATATTATAAGTAGTATAGATAACCATCCATATATGGTTCACTCATTTGATAATTTATTATTAGTTGGTGATATCACGTCGACATTGTTGACATTGCATTCAATATTTACTCATGTAATAGTATCTAGCAAAAAAAATAAAAAATTCCAATTGAGCCGGATCGTACACTAAATTCAATCAAACGTACTCTCTTGCCCATATTATTTTTATTTAATTCCTTACAATTTTGTAGAAATTACAACGCAGTTATGAGCTAATTACCTTTCACTTGAATAGGATATATCACATGTGGTGAACCAGTACAGCAGCCTAAAGTGAATAATGCAAAGCCAAGCCTCCGACATCGCTATCTGAATAGAACTACTCATCATCGTCACCGTTGGTATCTTTTGTAAAAGAATCCAAATGCATCTTGTGGAATCTTTGCCCCCCCTCCTTCTTGGATTCTCTTTCTTCTCTGTTCTTTGTATAATCCTCAAAGAAGTCCTTGTTCTCTTTCTCTAGCTCCTTCCACACTACATAAAACATTCAAAATTAATGAACTCTAAACATCCATTTATCATGTGCAATTGACATCAGACACAAGACCCATGTTTTTTTATGTTGGAATTGCTCTAGCGTCACTTTTAGTTGAAAAATTATTTTGATACCGCTTTGTTAGAGTTACGAGGATTAGAAATAAAATAGAGGAGAATTTTTTTTTGAGTGTTCAAATTTGTGTCGGCTGTTTATACTTTAAAGGCATGTTCTATAAAGAATAAGAGTGATTAACTCTTAGGGGGTGTAAGAAGTATTGAACGCGAGACTTCTTATTTGTAAGAGAAGAGACTTAATCACTGAACTATCCTTAAAGATACAAAATTAATTTACATACAAGTTAATTACAATCGCATACTAACTTGGACATTTCAACTTTTATTCAACTCTGCCTAATCCTGACACAAGGTCTCATACCCATTTATATAGGTTTAACCCATTACTGTTACCATTACATTCACACACCTTTATATTATAATCTGAACGCTACTAGTTTGAATCGCACAAACAATATTTATGCTGATAAAGCTACATATATTTGATCTCACACACACACAAACATAAATACATACATATATATATATATATATATATATATATATATATATATATATATATATATATGTATATTTGTTTTAGCCTGTATGTCTGCTTGTATGGACAACTATAGTCTATGGAGAAGTGGGAAACTTAGTGAAAGGTGACAGACTGACCTGTGGAAGTGATGACTGGTTGGATATTTGCATGTTTGGAAAGAGCTTCCATGCACTCTTCTTTGCTCATATTGAATATGATGCACTCTTCTATTAGGTGCTGCACCTGCAATATATCTCACACCCCACAGATCAATTTTAATCTGAGAAATAAGAGGGTAACAGATACAATTGTCATGTCAAGGATCAACACTCCCAATATATATATGTGCTTACCATGTGGATATATTGAGCAGAAGAGTCCCCCATTCTCTTATATGAGAAACAAGAATACCAAAAAGAAAAGAGAAGCGCAGGAGAGAGAGAGAGAGAGAGAGAGAAAGAGGGAGGGGATTAAGGAGCAGGAACAGCCGGTTAGATCAAGGAAGCCAATGGGTTTTTAGTACTGAACATGTTTGGTGGATGGGTAGGTCGATATAAGACAAAAATTAAATATTTATTTATCATGTGTGACATATTTTTTTATGGTAATGTCGTAATAAACAATGGGTAATGGTCAGGTGATATCATAGCGGTGGTGGGATCAGAACTCCCACGTGGGAGGAGGCATATGATTGGTCGGGAGGGGATTAGAGGAGATTTTATCAAAGCAGCCATCCTTTGCGGAACGTGGCCACTGGGCCACCCTCCACGTAGATATTGGACTCTTGGCCCGTTTGATTATGGACCCGCCCTAAAGTCACCGGAAGCAGTATGGGACCCATAATAAAGCCGACGTACGCACACATACTCCGTAGCTAACGGCACGTGGATTTGTTGTGTCGTCGTCGGCCGCTCTTGCACAATTAATATTTAATTTTTAATATTATAAAATACTAATTATTTCTCGTGCTTGAAACTACGAAATAATAAAAAAATATTAATAATTAATATATTTATATTCACACCCAAAATCAAATTACAAAGATAGAGGAAAGAGAAAAGAATTTAAACTCAAGTTATATTTAGTGTGAACAGTGGTAGTGGTAGTGGTAGTGGTAGTGGTAGTGAAAAACGGTAATAATTGTGGTGAATAAGGATGATTGATTGTGATGACGACAATCGTGGGTGACAAAATGGTGATGATGGTGGTTGTGGGGTGGTCGTGGTGGTAAGGTGACTACAATGGTGGTAGAGCAATGATGAGGTAGCAACAATGGTGGTGGCGACAGTGACAACAGTGGTGGTGGTGGGGCGATGATGATGATAATGGTAGAGTGATGGGGGGTGGTGGGGCGGTGGGTGGTAATGATGGTGGTAGGGTGGTGGTAAGGGTGAGGTTAGTTGTGGTGTGTAGAGGCAAAAAATCAGTAATACCTCTACACGTGAATTCGTGATATGATTTGTAGGAAAGAAGTTTGAACAATCTCCTAATCTCTTTCCTGCAAAACGAATAAATTACTCAAGATCGAAGTGTTTCGATCGAAGACACTCAAATGTTTAAGTCAGTAATGGAACAGAAAGAATTGTACTAAGACAGTGAGAGTTCAACGTACTTTTTATCTTGGTCTCTTCTATTTTTTATAGATCATTATCCCCTTAGGGTTTCCATGAATTTAGGTTCAAGGTGCCACACATTCCTTTAATTCAGTAGTTGAGTTTGAGAAGTTACTGATACTTCTCTAATGATTTCTCTTGATATCTTAAATCTCATCGATTTTGTTTATTTGATTGCCTAGATTTTAGGTAAATATTTTGTTGGGATTTAACTCGATTTAAATCCACTAACAAACACACACAATCGAAGAACAAATCAACAATATAAAGCAATAAGAAACAAGAAAGAACAAGACATAGATTTTACGTGGTTCGGCAATTTGCCTACGTCCACGAAGCTGCAGGGATTTCACTATTGAGAGAGTTGAATTACAGAGAGTGGCTGTACAATCCACAAAAAACCCTAATCACCAAAACAACAGGGTTTATATGTCCTATGCACTGAGCTGTATAACGGGCCCAAAAATTTTCCTTGGGGGCGTTGCCCCCGAACCCCCACAAGGCTTGTCCATGAGCATTACGGCTTGGCCCTATCGGCCTAAGCCTTTGCTCCATGGACTAAGTCTCAAAAAATTTTTCATTAAAAATCACACAACATTATTTCGGGTCGAGTCATCATCCAGATCACATATACAAACTAGACTCCATAAAAAAAAAACCAACATATTTTACTTTTCATCTATCGTTTTGAACAACTTGGACATATCGAGTTTCGAGCACATTCGACATTTGCCGAATAGTTTAGAGACTTGGTTTGACACAAGTCGATCTTTTCAAATTGCTTTCCCGAACATTCTAAAGAACTTGGCTTGGTACAAGCCGAGTTCTCTCCTTTTATAACCAACCAGATTGATGAACTCAGTCATAAAGAGAACTTAACTCTTTATTTGTTTGTCAAAATGAACTGATCAGTTCAGCTCGGTGCTCCAGACTAGTTGAATGTCTTCGTCATATGATTGGTCTTGTTAAGCTCACATAAACTTATTTAATGCTGTAACACATGTCATCATGAGGGTTAACCCCTTCATGGTGGAAGTAAGAAAGTGGTGGTGGTAGTTGTTATGGTGTGGGGCGGCGGGGGTGGTGGTGAGATAGTTTCAAACACTATTTTTTTTTAAAGTATTTATAAGAAGTTATAAGTTTTAGAAGGAACTTTTTAAAAGTTACTCCAAACACGTTCTTAGGGTCCTATTTTCTCTATTAAATTTGAGGTGCTAATATTAGTTGTCAGATTAATTTTAAAGTAAAATTCAAAGAGATTTTAGCCGCGAAAAATAAAAGTCATTTTGTTTATCTTTTAAAATTTAAATTGTATCGTACTTTATTATATAGATTTTTATGTACGAAGTTATTGCCAATTGATAGATATCACATATTGAAGTGCCTTTTGTATTTGTTTGGGAATTAATTATCAAAATACGACACTTTTTAAAAAAAATTTATCAAAATACGATACTTTTAAACTTATTTACCAATTTAGCGCAGTTTTTTGAAAGCGAAATTGTTAATTCAGTTTTTATGGTGAAAGCGGAATCAACAAGATCACTTTTAATACTTACAAACATGCATTTTCCCTTTTTATTGTATCACTTGTTAAAAACGGAATTGTTGATTCCATTTTCAACTGAACTGAATGTGGAATCAACAATTCCGCTTTTAAAAACTACTATACATTGGTAAATAAGTTTAAAAGTGTTGTATTTTTGTTTGAAAAGTGTCGTATTTTGGTAATTGATTCATTTGTTTGGTGGGTAAATCGAATTTTACACATGATTTTGTACATTATGAAATTGTATATCAATCATGCATTTAAAAGCCCCTGTAAATTGTTCTCCACTTAAAAAACAAAACAGATATTTAGTATTAACTCTAACTTGTTGACCATCTTTAAAAAAAACAAGAAACGTTCCCATATTGATTTTTAGGAATTTTTTTTGATGATACCAAGAATAATATTGAAAATAAATAGAAGGATATCTCTATATCTCGCCTACAAAAAAATTCAATAACCAGATGATCCACGAACAATCTCAGACAACTATGACTAGGTTGTCCATATCATCACACGAGGAGAATCAGTATTTCTAGATCAGGTCAAGTGTTTGGATCGAGTTCCTTTATTCACGAGTTGACTAAAGGTAAAGGAGACCATCCCAAATAGAATGACCACAGTATGACCTTTTATAGATATGGAACAACACCGCAGCGTATCGAAGCTTGAACACAGGCCAAAATACCACCTCACAAGTTCTAAAATGCCACCTTATGCCTAGGGAATATTATAGCCAATAACGGCCCAATATTCTCTCAACAAAATCTTAACAAACTTGTGGACCATATGATGATGACATAAGAACCATCACGCCTATGGGTAGAAATACACGAGGGCATTCATCCATGGAATAACCAATTGTAATATCTAAAATTGTAGCTATATCTTCTTCTTCAAGCAATAGAAAACTTCTCCAGGAACAACAGACTCCATTATAATGGATTAACCAAGCTCTTTAATTGGTGAATCACTATAATTTGTGTTTTTTCTTGTCTTCTAGTTTTGACTCTTGTTCTAAGTTACTGTAACATTTAACAGAACCATCAGGTTCACCATAGATCGATTCATCCTTCACTGTTTATTCACTCCTAAGCCTTGAGCTCTTCAGTTTAAATGCACATCTCACACTTTTGAATCCATACATCATCAATTTTAATCGAATGGATTTATATAATCGATGTTCATATAAATTTTTTTTTTTTTTTTAATTACAACACTCTAATTTTAATAAACAAAATCACACAAAACAGCTATAAAACATAAAGTTTAAGATACAACAAATAAAGTATCAAAACAAAAACTTTCATTTTCCCCAATGGTCGTCACAAGGAACTGAAAAACTATGAATCTTGGGGTACATTATGAGAGATTTAAATTCTCTCTAATACATTTCATTTTAATTTTTCATAACGTTAAATCATTCATTATACATTTGTCTGTGGCGGGTGATCTTTAATTAAGTATATTAAAAAAAATCCAAATACTTTTATAGCACAATGGATAAGTATGTGTAATGGTAATTATTAGGCTTCATTGCAAATCAAAGATTGGTTTAACTTTTTGACTTGATGATGGTAAATGAATAAGAGCTATAGTATGTCCATCAATAAAAAAATGACAGATCTAAGACTGTAATTGGGCAGTTTAGAATATTTTTTTAATCAACACTACCATGAATAATGTGTACATTAGTGCGATAACAGTTGAAAATTACTTATGACAAAGGCTCGCTGTCAATTTGTTTTAAAATCATTCATTGAACCGCTGGTAAGCTCGACATCAAATTCATCGCCATATTGATTGATTTAATGGTCTAGAATGTGTATGTGTTTGTGTTTTTGTTGTACCAATAACCCTAATCGAACGCAAATCCTCGAAGGCCAATGCATTATGGGAAGGGATGATGAGGCCCGAATTTACAACCTTAAGCCCAACAACGGGGCTAACTATCTAGAATGGCTTTCATTTGCCAAAAAATCTGCGTGCCAGTTGCCTGCTTTACATTTATGAAATAACTTAGATTGCTAGGGGTAGGCCAACAGCTTCTGGTAGTCTTCAACGGTGGAGGCAGCTGGATGAGTGAGAATTTGCTGTTTTGATGATTTGCATTGCATTATCTGAATCTCTCTCCACTATAATGCACCCTGACCGCATTCCCCAAACTACCACAAGCTTCACAATTCACATATGATCCAACATATTGCTTAATGCACATATGATGTACATATTGTTAGAATAGGGCCTCATATTCAATATATGGAGAGGTCCACCGAGTCAGGGCGGCCTAACCCTTAGGCAATTAAGTTGCTTGCCTAGGACT